GTAAACCATGAATCTGTTGCGGCGGAGTTTCACGACGTTCCGGTGACGGATCTCAGTGAATACTCTGATTTTGTTTAGGAACTCTTGTTTTATCGATGAATTTGAGATCGATGAGTTTGTTGTTTCGTTTATCTCACAAAACCCTCAAATTCATTCAACCAGCGGGATCGATGTCGGAGCTCACAGTACCTTTCACGCATTAACTCAATTTATCTGCTAAACCCTAAAATAGCTTCATGCCGTTTTTCTAGTTCTCAATCAAAGCTTCACCGCCGTCGTGTGTTGTTCTTTCTTCGAGCTGTGTTCTCTATTCTCAGGTGAAGCTTCTTTCTACGATTTGCCTTGGTTTCGTTTCGAAATATCAAGTCTTTTTCTCAGATTTATATCTGGGGCTAATCAGAATTAGTCGGGATCTAATAGATTTCTGTATTATCTGTCTGGATTGGTACCAGTGTCTAAATGTAATTGACTTTTATTGTTTATTGTGGAAAAGCTCACAATGATGATGTGGTTGATTCCAAACCCAAGATATCTTCTCATATGTGTATGTGGACGATAAAGCATATAGATGAACGGTGGCTATATGTAAAAAGGGTATTTTAGTTTCTTTATCCTTCCGTTGGTCAGCATGTATTTGTAATCTTCCCTACCGGCAGTGCCATAGAAAGTAGTATACTGAAATTGAGTTGCAACTAGCAATGAGATTATTGTCCTAAATTCAAAATCCGAGTTGATTTGATATTTGTTTGATTTCTTCTTCCATGTGATCGAACATGGTGATCGAACATGGCTTCAAGGTCTTGTTAATATTAAATGGTCAAATCTCTTTGGGGTAATGTGGTATGTATGGTTGTATGAATCTATCTTGTAATGGATATGAACAAATGGATGGCTAAAAGAATTGGAGTCAATTTATTTAAATAGATATGAACTAATGGATAGATATAAACAAACATATGGCTAAAAGAGTAGAAGTTTGTGGTAGTGTCCATACACAAATGAATATTAGTCAAAAAATAATGGATGGTGTGCTTTTAATTGATGATTATCATCTATCCATGTACTAGCCTACTGGATTCGAACAAATGGATGACTTAAATAACCACCAGCTTGAAAAAACACAAATAAAAGTTTTGGGTAACTGTATGTGCTTGGTGAAGGCCATATGTATTGTCGGCTAATTGAAAATCATCAAGACTTGTTACAGGCTTGGGACACCATCACAACCAGCAGCACCATAATGGATTTAAGGTTCTCTAAACACTTTCAGATCATCCACTTGGATTCGGCCATAAACACTTGTCCATTTTACCATAAGCACTTGTTCATCATAGTACTTATGAAAGTTTATAACACCGAGATAGTCAACATACTTGCCATCATCCATATATACAATCTTTGATGGATACCTTACTTGTATATGGTCACGTCCACATGGATACCAGTAATACTTTTCATGTGTTCCAATTTTGATTTACTTTTTTTTCTCTAATGGAAGCCGAATGATGGACAAAAATTTTGTACTAATTAAAGGTCCAGTCTTGATTTTGTATTATTGTTAAATCCAAAAGATTAGATTTTGATTTAAACAAATTTACATATCGGTTTGGGTTTATAAGATATGAATTAGGGTTTAGTGATATACATTTAAACATGCTAAACATATCGGTTTGGTTTTATAAGGAAGGAGTTAGGATATATTGTTATACATTTAAGATTTACAGTTTTGATAACTAAAGATTCTTGCATTTTATCGTTTTTCACCACCCCCTATCCATGCAATATATTATCCTCTTCATAGTGAAAATATGTTCAACCATAAGTAAATAATGTGTAATGTGGAGAAATATGAATTTTGATTAATTTGAATCAATTAGTACCCGTTAGCATATGTTTCGTAGCAACTCGGAACCACCAAATCACAGGTTTCTTGATACCCGTTTGATTAATTTTGATTAAGCTCACAAGCCTAACTTCAAACTTATCATTTTTGTCCATAAAATTATAACCAACCGATGTTTTCCATATGGTATGACGAAGTAACATATCGGTTTGGGTGTAGAAACCAATATGGGTTAGGGGTAATGTAAATAAATTAAGGACTTGATGGTCTGTTCCATGTGGACATCATTTGTTCAAAAATATAGTTCATATGTTCAAATGTTCGCAAACATTGTATAGAAATGCTTGAGATATTATAATTTTAACCATGTATTCAGTGTTGGATGGTCAATTAAACTAAAAAACATGTATAATAGTAAAATATTAACAACGAATACTTGATCAGAGTTTGGCAGATGTATAGTCCACCGAAAGTTTTTATTCTTATTCATCTATATGGTTAGAGTTTAGCGGATATTTGTTCAAGTATATGTTTATTCTTGGATGATCGGTAATTAGAAATATTGTTGTAATATGTTTGTTTAAGTATTTCTGGACATCCATTAAATAACAAGCAAATGTTCAATCAAAAATGGATAATATGTAATATAATTCTTCACCTAAAATATAGCAAAATGGATTTTAAAATGTAGGAAAACTTAAATCTTAATTTATTGTGTAAAAAATAGAAAATATATGATATTAAATAATTAAAATGATAATGTAGAGAGAATGAGAGAAAAAAAAGAGAGAGAAAGAGAAATGACGTGGAAAGAAAGAAAAAAGAACAAGAATTATGCTAAATATATGTTTGTATGTCAACATAGTCACGTCTAATTTCTAGAATTTCTGTGATTTTTTAACCATTAGATCTCAAATATCTCTTAAGATCCAACGGTCCACATAGCTAAACTATTAGTTAGATTAAGTACCACTCAACTCAACTCTTTAGCAAAACTGATGTAGTTCAAGGGTATAATAGTATTGAATTTTGTTCAACAGTGAAAAAACTTGTAAAAACACGGAAAGTGTGTCTTTTGTAAGCAAAGTTGTAGAAAGTGTCCCACAATGTAACTCACCCAAAGAAATTGGTTTAAAATTCCGTTTGACGGTGAAGTGACCATCACACCATGGATCGAGTCCCGCTCCTTACAATTTGTAGGGATTAGGCTAATGGGCCGGCCAGTTGTGGCCCAAGGTTGACAAAAAAAAAAAAAAAAATTCCGTTTGACGACGTAGTAAACTAATAGAATTCCACACGTAAATCAATAGTGGTTTTGCAGTAAAAAATTGAATGTATATATTTTTAATAAAAGAAACTTGATCTTCATGTTGTTAAATGTTAATAATCATCCTTGAAGATGAGTTGACAAATTAGTAAATTACTCCATTATTAAAGAATATGTATATGTCCCTGTTTAATATGAAATTGTGTAACTGAAACTTAACTAGATTGTGTACCCGCTTAATTCAAAATTTTTATTTTTTGAGTATAAATATAATCAATTGAATTTTTAAAGATTTTACTTTATCCATGTGCATTATCTTTTCAAAGTAGTAAAAAGTTTCTTAATATAGCTGTTGACAAACAAAAAAAAGTAGTAAAAAGTTTCTCACACTTTTCACTAAATTTTTTTTCGTCATTTTCTATGATTCACTCGTCGTCTCCCGACATCTACTCTCTTTTGTCCGTATATCGTATCTATTTTCTCTAGGGAGATGTTTGTCATAAGTTTTTTTTGACCAAGTTTTGGTGCATCTAAAACTGCTTCATAGACAACAAATCTCACATATGGACTCATTCCTATTCACAAACATATGTTTCAACGTGAAATTTTGCACTTTATCTTGACCATTTGAAATATACAAAATTCTCTTTCTAAATATATAATTTAACATATATTATGATTAAAAATAGTATTCTTAATGTTGATTTTTCTAAAATGTGACACTTACGAACTCATAAAAATTATTCTAATTTTAAAATACATTTATTAAAAAAAACTCTTCAATCTACTATTACTATTCTAATTTTCAAATAGCATTCTCAAATATTATTATTACACAATTTTATTATTCGATAAAATTATTTTAGTTTTATTTTTGATGTTTGGGATAGTTTTTTGTTTTATTTCAAATCACCTTAATTTTTTTCAATCTATGTTAATTTCCTAAACACTGATTAATATTTAGTTTCTCTTTTTTAGGTATTCATTTAAAAAAAAACAAAGCACCACTTTTTAATTTAGAAAACATTAATAATATAGAAAAATTATTAATTTAACTATTTATATTATATTATAATTATAAATAATAATATGTCCTCGATCCTTCTTATTTTTCAATCGGTACTCAAATTTTAAATGTCTATTTTTCAGAAATGAATTGCTTTTTATTTTAATGAAAAACAGTTAAATTTGGTATTTTTTAAACCCTTATTTTATTTATTCTACTAAATAGTTGTAACTCTTATAAATAATTGTTGTACCATTAAAATATATGATAAGTTTCTTTTTTCGTATCTCTAACTATTTTAAAACAATTACTCATTATATGTTAAAATATAATTATCTATTCAAAATTTTCAAATTTTCAGTTGTCTATTAATGTTTTTCGTTTTTTCATAATATTTAATTTAATTTTGTCAACTATTGCTTTTGTTTAATATGTGAATTAATTTTAATTTTATTATTTTTTGTTTTAATAAATAAAATATGTGGAGCCTAGAAAAAATAAAATATAATGACATTGATGATGATGTGGACACCCTAGATTGAGAGAGAACTCTGTAATTATATATATAGATTTTACAGCTTAACTTAATTTGATCCACAAGCAAAAAATTACTTTTACAGTTTTGGGTTAAGGATAAAATAGGAATTGGTCTACTCCCACCTTAAGCTCTATGAAACCGTTCTGCTCTAAGCAACAATTTAAATAGAAAACGATAAAACATAAATGGAATCTTGTGTAAATAAATATAACAAATCAAATTACAGACGCAAGTGAAAAAAGTCAAGTTTTATCCTATTTAGTAAAGTTCAATCAAAGCAAGGAAGCTTCAAAATTTGAAAGTCGCATTAGAAATATTCAACGAAAGAGTAAAATTATATAAAGATTTGATTAATTAATCACACGCGGTTACTTAAAACAGTATAAATATAGTTGTGGCTTGATATTGAAGGTGTAAGATTTGTATATACAAAATGGAAGTCCAAAGGCGTAGCGTACTGTTTCTTCTAGTTCTATCTCTTCTTATTCATACACAATTCAAAGTCGTTGGTTCACTTGATCAAGCCTCTGTGTCATCTATTGATGCAAAACGTCATCATTTAACCGTAGAAACGAGGTCGTTACCGGGTGATTTTGTGCGGAGACAGCTTGCCGGTGGTGGTTGTGGAGGGGGAGGGGGAAGTCGTGGAGGTGGAGGCGGTGGATCAAGTGGAGGAGGAAGCTCAAACCGTGGTGGCAGTCGTGGTGGTGGTGGTGATGGCGGTGGTGGTAGCGGAGGTGTCCGACTTCAATACTCTTTTGCGTTGTTCATCTTCACGACATGGTTCATTCTCATGTTTTATTAGACTCTAAATTTTAGTTTTCTAAGTTTTTTTCTCTCTCTCTTCTTAGTTTTTTTTTTTTGGTTTGACAAAGCTCTTCTTAATTAGTTGAATTATTTTGTTTAATATAATTATTGTTTGGTTACGTCCATGTGCTGATGATCGTTTGGTTAATAATGACACGAACGTAGCTTAAAGATTAGAAAACTAGTTGTAGTAGTAAGTGGTTTGGTTTTGATCGTTCCGAACATGTGTATAACCTTATGTACAAACTTGCTCGTTACATCTTACACAAACAATTGGTAGATGCGAGAAGATTTTTTCATTTTGGCCAACTATCAATTAATTTGTCCAACCAAAAAAAAAAACAGTTAAAATCTCTTTATTGTACAAGAATTCCAAAGAAAGGCCAGGTCAAACCAGCCCATTGTGCACCACACAACACCACCGGAACTAATGGCTTTGTTAAGATTAATCTAATCACCCGAATAAATTTAACGTTACACCAACTTAATATATGCTTTTATTTGGGAAAATGTAAATTGACTAAAGTCCTCTGTTCTTCTTCGGTTGATACGTTATATCTTTCTTTTTTGGTTCTGGTTTCAAGCAATTTAATTCTTACTTGGTGCTTTTATTCTTCCACAACATCAGATCAAAAATATCAATCCATTTGCACAAAAACATGGGGACCATAATGTTTCTTAAAATAACATTTTGATCAGAGTATTTTCAATTACTTCAAGCCCACCCAATCAATCTTCATGTATTCAAGCAAGTGGATAGAAAGCAAGCATGGCCAAACCACACATTCCTTGGGGTGCATCCACGTCTCTCTTGATCCTCATGAAACCATCCTCTCCCCAAGTTTCCCCCCAAGAATTCTTCACCACCCAATACTTAGTCCCTTCTTCACTCATACCATAACCAACAATCGTCACCGCATGATGCAAATCCGTCCCACATTCTCCGTTGAATATCCCGCCCGAGTAGTGCCTAAACCCGGCTCCTGTCCCTTCTATCCCCACGGAAACAGGCTGTTGAGACACCGCTTGTAGCAATGCTTCCTCATTATTCATTGGAACTGTCTCATATCCGCTGATTGTAGCAGCACGGAAAGACGATGATAGGGTAGTTGATGAGCTACAAGTTTGTTGTGATTCTTGATATGGATAGTTATCCTCTGTAGTGATGCCTTGGTTTTTGATTATGTACTCAAAAGCTTTTGACATTATCCCTCCATGACATCCTTGGTTGTAGTCTGTGTCGCAGTCTAAGAGTTGTTGCTCCGATAGCGATACGAGCTCGCCTTTAGTAATCTTTGTAATGCCTTCCACCGCCGCCACCGCAGAAAACGCCCAGCATCCTCCTGTTCCATTTTGAAAAAGTTCATGTTTTAGAACAATGTATGTCTATTCTTTTTTTTTTTTGTTAAGGAATAAAAATTAAATTTCAGAAAAAAAGAATCAAAATAATGACGTCAAGCACAAATAATGTAGGTTGTTATAAAAAAAATAAAAAAATAAATTATTACCACATCGGCCTTGATACTTAACGGGTGTAACAGCCCCCTCTTGTCTCCAATCCATGCTCTCGCCAGTATCACTAACATTACCATATCTAAACGGCACCGTTTTATCCGAAGACAGAGTTGAAATTCCTGTTATTTCCTCGGGCACAACTAGTCCAGTGTGTGTCGCCCGAAATTCTTCGTCAGTGAGATCAGAGAACTCGTTGACATCCAACTTGTACGTGATGTTCTTATTCATATTGAAGCTCTGGACGAACTCCAAGTTCTTCTTGAAAATATTGAACCGATTTCTTTTTTCGGATTCGTCAGAGTAAACGCGATTGAATCGAGCCATCCATTGCTCATGTTTCTCAATGGGAGAAGCTTCAAAAAGGCCACCACGAGATGTAGCTAGCGAAGTTCTGTAACTCAAAAAAATAGTTAGAATGAATATGATAGTTGACGACATTCCTAGAGGTAATAGTATGGAAATGAATGGGCACAATTTAAATATAGTATCAATAAAAATACTCTTTTAATACAAATGTTTTGGTTATGTTACTTGGAATTGCCAAGAAGTGTGTATGCCAAAATGGTCTTATATAAGAAATTGTGAGTGAAGTGTGTGGTGAGATTTAAATATACTAAGGAAGTGGGACCAAATGACATGGGAAAACAAATTGCAACATTATTGTTCTTAGATTCTATTTGCCAGTTTTTATATGCCTCACTCAAAGTAAATGGTCAACGTTAACTCAGTAAAAAATATTTTGGCCGGTTAAATTTTGGGAGGTTCGCATGATATACCGTTTTGTAAAACTTTGAATATAACAATAAGCTTTTGGTACAAAGCCATTGTTGATTTTTTTTTTCTTTGGTTTGTGGTCTATATTAAGCTCTCTATGTGCCTTGCTTGAACATCGTACACGTTGCACTCTTAGTGCCTTCGCAGACCCCACGAGCTACAAGAGCAAGGCAGCAATTGCTAAAAAATTTAATCCGATAGAAACAATGGAAATCACAAATATTAAAAAATTGAATATTCATTTGGTTCTAAAGATATAAATGTTTGTGTAATGTATATCGTAAAAACATAAATAGGCATATATAAACCGTATATTTATTATCTTCATACAGATTTTAAATATGTATATTTATAAATTAAATATAGGACTATTTAACAGTAAGAACTTAAGAGTTATTACAAATTTTAATTTTTTTTCTATCTTAATACTTATGGAACGAAAAAGATATTTGGTCGAAGTACCTAATTTTTGCGAAATTTTTAACACTAAATATCATAATAGTTCTGGAACAAATATAGATTCAAAAATTAAAGATTCAATAAGATATCAGTTCTTACCCATTCCTTATTGCGGTAAAGGACCAGATGAAGGAAAGAAGTCATATCATCGATCAATGTTTCAATTTTCCATAATTTTCATAATTTTAAAATGATTGTATCTATTTTTTTTTTTAAACATTATCTAAATACGCTGCTCTCACAAATCTTATCTCCTTAAATAGTCTAGATGAATGAGTGTCCACGAATAATTCATAATCTTGGGTCTTCGAATAGAACCAAAACAATCGGAAATAATACAAAGATTGGAATAATATGTTTCCCAACTATTTGCAATTGACACAATTATTTTCTAACTATTGTATGCACGTAAATGATTTTCCAATAATTATGTTAATTGCAAATAGTTGGAAAATAAAATAAGTATTTTCCCAATCAATAAAAGAGTATTTTTTGTTTACTCTTTGTGTTCTTTTTATTTTCTTTCTTTCTTTTCGTTTTTTTTCAACAAGGCTTTCTTTTTGGTATTTGGCCAAGTTGGTCTGTTCTTATTTTATTATTATTATTGTTCTCTTCTACCATGCGTTCGACAACGCGAACAAAGCAAACAACAACATTTCGTAATCGGGTCAATATAAAATGTGAAATTGAGTGACTTCGATGACCAAATTTTCATAGAAAATAATTTTAAAATCCTTTTCCTTTTCTCTTTTGCTATTGTGTCTGTTCAAATCCTATCATGTAACTCCATAATGCAATAACTGATTTGTCAAGTGGTTCTACTCTCTTACAATTACAAGTTGCAATGTTATTGTTATGTAGATAATGTTATTGGTGTAAATGGTTGAAGTAACTCCGCAAGGCAAGTGGCCCTTCTCTCGAATCTCGATATTAAGGCTTTAAATTCTTTTGATTGATTTTTAAGTTTTTGCTTTGTTAATTTTGGATGTTACTGGTTATCAAAAATAGTGCAAAAGGATCATCAAAAACGGAAGAAATTAAACGGTGCGTTTTGTTTTGGGGGGCGACAAAAAAGGCGACTTAGGGGTTTTTTGCTTCACTTGCACGCTTCGATGCCGCCGGAGGCTACTCCGTCGCGGGAGGACGAGATTGTGAGCCCGGTGAATATAGAGAGTGTGGTGGTATTGGAAGAAGATGAGATCTCAGCCAGTAGCTCTGTTGGGGAAGTTTCACAGGAGGTGAAAGAAACAGAGTTATTGGAGAAAACAAATGTTAACAGTGGGGACGTAGTGACAGAAACAAAAACTGTGAGTAGCGTAGAGGGGAGTATGTCAGTAAGTCTGGAGATAGCCAAACCCAAGCTGAAGGGATCGTGGGTGCAGGCAGTAGTGACCCGGTCTCGGGCATAAAATTTGTCCGGACGGATCGCGTCCTGAACCAAGTGTCGGAGTCGAGCAAAAGTGAAAGTCTCTTGTGTTCAAAGAACTTGGACGTAAGTTAGGTCCTTTTAACAAGAAATAGTTAATATCTCTCGAAGAGATGAGTTTTGATAGAAAGAAACTCGTTTTGGGATCGTCCGGTGAACGATTCACCGTGTGCGACAAATGGAAGATTTAAAGGAGGTTATAAGGACTCGGGAAAAAGACTTATAATCGAAAATGCTAAAAAAATCCTTTTACTTGGCTAAGTTAGTTTTGGGTCATGTCCGAACATCGTGGAACCGGACTACGCCTTGACCATGCCGTATGGGCGCACCATGGCTAAGGACGACCTAGCATGTGGCGTAGATGATTCTTGGGATGGTCGAATCTAGAGAAAGATTTGAAGGCATAAATTCCGAGAATCGAGGCAAAAGCGTCAGAAAAGTAATCATTTGTCGGAGAGAAAAACTCCACACTTTTGACGAAACCGAGGCAATGATTATATCTCTGGCCCAATCAAAAGAAAGATATTGCCTTTGGTATAAGTTACCTTCTTTGGGCGAAATCGAGGCAATGGTTGCAGTTCTGAGCCAATCGTTGAGGAAGAGTATAACCAAAGGAGCAAATTACCTCTTTTGGACAAAACAAGGTAATGATGAGCTTGGGAAGCACGAACATCAAACCAATCGTGGAGAAGGAGTGTTGCCATGTGCTGGCCGACACGAACATCGAACCAATCGTGGAGAAAGAGTGTTGCCATGTGCTGGGCGACACGAACATCGAACCAATCATGGAGAAGGAGTGTTGCCATGAGCTGGGCGACACGAACTTCGACCTAATCACAAGGAAGCGTGTTCCCATAGGGTTGGGCAACGAAAACTCCAAGCCAATCGGTGGAAGAGTTCCTTTGTGGGTTTGAGTCACCCAAGACGCGACATGTGTCTGTCATGCGTCAAGTCTCATCCTCTATATATAGAGCCAAGGCTTTGGGGCTTAAGTCATTCTACCAAAAGCTAGAGAGAAATCGTGAGAGAGAGCTCTCTGAAATCTCCGGTGAAGTGACGGCCACTCTTGAAGCTAACGGTAGAGGTGGACGATGGAGTTCTGGACGAAGTATCATACCAGAAGTTCTCGATCAGAGTTGTTATTCCGCTAAGACATCACAATCATCCGATCCGCTTAATCACAGTGAGTTTCGAAGCATGTGTGGTTGCACATGATTTACTTTGTATGCTTGCTTGTTGGTTGTGTGCTTGTTGATGTTATTGTTGATTGATCGTAGAATTGATAAGGATTATCATCCACGTCATGTATGCTTGATGCTTTAAGTACGCTTCGTCGTAGCTTAGTTGCATGCATATAGAGTTTGTGGTGTTCGAGTGCGCTTCCCTGTTTTTATTGGACTCGGAGAGACTGGGTCGCTCCCAAAGGGCCGAGTGTTGCATGACGATTCAACGAGGATTGCCCGTCGTGGAATGCCCATGTGGTACATCTCTTGTAGACTTAGTGGCTACTAGCGGATTATTCACTTGTTTAGATGGGAAGGATCGGTCACATGGCCATAGGATTTTGTTGTTATCATTTACCCGTGCATTCATCCTACTGCATAACTGTTGCATTTGATTTACTTGTTGATTATCGCATGCTATTGATTGCTTGTTGCTTATTGTTTGACTAACGTTTATTGTTTTGGGTTGGGTTGTTTAGCTTCTGAGATTAGGCGCCGAACTCATTGAGTACTTGTATTCATGATTCCACCATTTTTGTTGCATGAAACCTTAGAGGGATAAGCCGTAGAGGGTCGTTGGGACAATAGGATCTTAGTGTAGATTGTTGGGTAGAAATATAAAGGCTACTATTGTGTATTATGTATTGTGAAATGGGATCCCCGAAAACCTTATATGATTGTTATGCGATTTGTATCATATTATACTATGTATAAAAAGGTTTTCTCAAAATGGGGATGGTTTGATGATATAGGTCCGAACCGCATAACTTCCTTTCCCGGTAAAAGGTTGGCAAGCCGGATATCGGGATTGGGAGGGATGGTACTAAGCGGGGGCAGGTCAGGGGGAGAGTTTGGTGCTTAAACCTTGATCCTCTCGTGCGAAGTACTTGCCACATGTACGATTCTAGCCGGGCTATTTATAGCATGGTTCAGGGTCGCTACAGTTTTAGGTGGCTCCAGAGCATGGTTACAGATGCTCGGGAACCATCCCGCTTTTCAAATTTTTTATCGAGTCAAAATTGAGTCGCATTTCTACCTTAGGATAAACCAAGTTGTCTCGACGTGGGGTCTAGGTAGATGGGAATCTTTAGGACTAACCTTACTTTGGTGATGCAGATGCTTTCGCGACACACTAGAATTTTGGGCGGACGATTGTGGGGTTTTCCGTCAAACGCTGGACCAATCAACATGTACGGGAATAGTGGTGATAGTTCTGACAATTCTGTGATTCCGTCGGAACATGTGAGACTGATGTTGAAAGGATTGGAATCGGAGTCCTTCATGGCTACGAGCCCTTCGGTGACTTCGGTTGAATCCATTTCTACGAGGGAGATGGTAGGTTCGGATAGTTCATTCGAGTTGGATCCATCGGAAGATCCTGAGGAGTTTTAGGATATCGTCGAGACGAGTGTGGAGTCTGACAAAGTTGTGCCTCTAGTAGATTTGGGAGGAAACCTTGGAAGTGTTTCGGTCTCGGATTTTGTGGTACTTTCTGACGATTCTGTGGAGGATTTTTCGGACGAGTTTGAGGAGTCTGAGGAGCAGATGGCGACTGGATATCTCTACGGAGATGTGGACGCACCTATGTGGGAAGGTCCAGATGGGGTCAAGTACGAGTTGACTTCAGACGATTCGGGACAGCCGGCAGTTTATGCGAATTCTCACCCGCCGCTGCCGGACAAATGGTCGACACT